GGCCGCGCTGCGGCGGCATTGGGTCCGAGCCCGGCGCCTGCTGGCGTAAATACCCATGCAGAAGCATGATAATAAAAGTAATAATAATAATAATAATAAAACCGCCTCTCTCTCGGACCGCTTTCTCAGCAGGCCGCTCAGCCTAGGGGACAGCCATGTCTTCTTCCTTGAACGTGGTGCTTCTGGAGACTTTTCCCAGCTGCAGCGGCACTGAGAGGAAGGTCGAGTCCCCCAGCCAGGTTTAGAGGCGCCGCAAGCAGCGTTGTAAGCGCGCAGCGCTTTCGAGAGGCGACCATTTTCTGACTTTCCGGTGCTTAAAGTCAAACGTCGAGCTTAAAGGCAGGCAGCATCTCAGAATTAGCATTGTTGCCCTTCCTTGCGGAGAGGAACCATTGGCATGTGCAGCCCGTTCCCGTCCTTGAAACTTTTTTTTCAGACTGGCACGTTGTAAACTTTTTGAAAATTTTTCATTGATTCCTAGTTCTTTGTTATGTCAGGGCTTTGCATGTGCTTGGTGTCACCCCCCTCCCTTTTATTTCCCTCCGTTCCCCTGCAGCACATTTTGCACTGTACATGATTAAAATCTCATCCATTAACCACAAGATACTGCAGAATTTTGCTCAGAAACATGTTTCTGAAGTATCCCACTTCTACAGTAGGGATGCTGTAGGATTCAGTGCATCCTGTTTTGGAAAACTGCATTGCTTCATGTAGCAGTTTCTGAGTTCCTGTGGAGAGGCAACTTTCTTACAAAAGACAGATCAATCATAGGAATATACTCTGCTCCAATATACATGCTCTTATGTTCCTACTGGAAACTATGTAAGTCTGGACTTACTTTGCGTGTTGCTTCTATTATCCCACTCATCACATCTTTACACAGGCACATTTGCCTTGATTATTTTTGTCTGATGAAGGTAAACGTTAGATGACTTGTAACTGAAAGTTTAAAAGAAAAAATACTAAATTTAATGCACTCTCCATCTTCTCACAGTACACGGAGACAGACTGACATATGTGCATTGAATGCCTTCTTATCCATTGGAAATAAAAACTTTAAAATACTGACATTCTTACTGCTTGCTTCTGTGTTGGCCTTCACGTTGCTCTTTCTCAGACATAATTCATTATTCATTCTAAGAGCAGCTTTTGTAATAAAAAGGCCAGGGAACAGCTTTAATGAAAGAACCATGAGAAAAAGGGGACAATTGCTATTTAGCTATGATTTTTCTGTTACTTAAGGACCTGGCAGCATCTGCCTAGTTCCCCTCAGCTGTTGTACCAGGCTTTAGCAGAGTTGTTTCTGAGCTTAAAAATAACTACAGTTTATTCAAAAGTTGTCCGTTTCCTTCAAAGTATGTTCTTTAAGTTATTTTTAAAATGTCCCCTAAGTGTAGTTTTTTATTGGTTCAGAAACCACTTGTTGCTTCATGGTACCTGTGACATGGAAAAAAACGAAGAAGGGACTAGTAGCCACTAGTCTTCGGTACTTATTACTATTTTAGTATCCCAACAGTCTTGAAAAACTGGGGCATAAGGTAGGAGGCTGCAAACTTGGTTGCACTAGAAAAATTGCACCAGAACTATTGTGTGAGCATCCTGAGCTGTTTTCCCCCTATGACAGAGACAATGTCAGACACTGAGATAGTTTGCATTGGGAGTAAGCAAAGAGACAGGCCCCCTAACTCCCTGATCTGGTTTCTCTTAAGAGGCTCTAAAACTCATATAATGTTTCCACTTCCCAGGGAAGCAGTACCTTTGATCTCATTCAGTCAATATATTAATGTATGCATTTTCTCATTTGCAGCTAATATATGATAGTTTTGCTCAGTATCTGGTAACGGAGAAGGGTTATGACAAAGAGTTGCTGAATATAACTCCAGAGAGCTTAGACTTCTGGTGAGTACGTTGAAAATAACAAAACCTATCTTCAAGCTTCCTTTATCTTCTGATTTTTACAAAGCCTGGAAAATAGCTTATTTAGCTTCAGATCGTCATTGTTATGGTTGCCAGGCCCAATAATTCCTAAATTACAGCATTAAATACTTGTTGGAGCAAGTGTTTGTCATGAGCTAGTTCTAACTTGGCTATTTGCAAGACAGAACTGAGTATCCAAGTTTGCTCTGTCTTCTGCTTCCAGCTGTCTAGATACAAGTTCTGTAGTCCGACTTAATCTACCATTTTATATATCTCCTATGTCTTCTACCTTCAATTCAATTGGTAAAACCAGTGACTCTCAGAAGTTAGTCATATCTCATTTTTCTCTTGACAGATGCATTTTTGTTTGTGTAAGGCAGAATATTCCCAACAGTCTTCTGAGGAACTGAGAAGCGGTGATGTGCCAGGAAGTAGCCCATGAATGGCACTTTAGGCACAAAGCTCTAATGCAGAAAACTGAAATGCAAGTTCCTGGTCTGAGCTGAGTGATGTCTGAGCAGGAGTTTGTATGTGGGTTTCTGATATTCCAACCTTACTAGGCTATTGTCTAGGCCTGGGGAGGAGGTGAGGGCTTGAAGGCCTGGTTGTCACTATCATTTTTAGCAGAAACACATGTTTCTGAACTAATGAATGCATTATGTGCAGGAAAAAAAAATGGTCAGTTGTTTTCACAATTCAATATTTGATGGTTTCCAGCCAGGTCTAATTTCCTCTTTCATGTGAAAAGGAGTGTATCTGTGTTCCTCATATTTTGAGACTTCTGAGGCATAAAATCCACTATTAGGATCTAGATATCCAGACCTCAGTCCTTTGTTGGATCTAGAGGTTTATTAGCACGGACATGCAGGCCTGCAGTGCTGGCAGCTCTGCGTCTGTGCTACTCTCCCAGGCTTCTCATCAGCTTCATCCATGAAAGGCTCGGGTCTGCTTGCTGCCTCTATGGCATACCAACTTTCTTTTGGGTATCTTGTGACAGAGAATGAGGGTGGCATTACTTTTTCAGTCTTTATTATCATTATTGTTCTAAATATTGAACACTAAATGCATTTTTTAAACAACATAAACTAACATAGATTCAATTATATCTGGCAGATGTAAGATACAAATTTCCTAGTGGAGTTAGGTACTCAGTAGTACATCCACAGTACCTTGTGCACTCTTGGTCTTATTTGTGCTGTCTAGTACGGCAACACTTGTGCTTCACGTGCTCCTTAGGCATTCAGTCACCTCATTTGGATTGATGCTCTGCCCCTCTGTCCATTAATGACCGATGTTATCAGTCTAATAATAGAGTACAAGAGTTGTTAAAGGAGAAAAAATATTTTGTGTTAATAGTAGAAGTGGCTTAAATATCACATTTCTTAGCTGGATATGTTTGGACCTTCATCCTCCAACCTTATCTGTATGATTAGTCACACTGAACTCACTGAACATTTGGACAGGACTTATTTAGTAAGAATTTGCTATGTAAGTGAAATCCTGTCTTCATTGTAATAAAATGTGCTTGCCTATATACAGCATTGTTCAAACATGGAAGTGTTTGAACAATTGTGATTTTGCTGCTTTTGTGTATCATCATTGTATAGCTCCTGTAACTGCATCTCATTATTCTAGTATATAATGAAGCATTCTTCTAAAAGCATTCATTGCTTGTTTCTTCCTTTAAATAAAATTCTGTGCAGTTGTAAAGGCTTGGTGTTTGACTTTGAAGATGGAAACTTCCTGAAACTTGCAGAAGATGGAACAGTGTTGAGGTAATATTGACAATATGCTTTTATTGCTAAACAAATGCCAACATTTTATACTCTTTCTGAAAGCCATCTCTCAGGTTTATTAAAAATTTAAATGAATATATGCTGAAATTAGTGTTTTATTAAACGCAAAAGTTTAAGTACTCTTTGGCAACCTGGTGCTCATTTTCTTTTAATGTTCCTTAAGCGATCTTTTCATAACATTTCTGTGTTAGCTGCCGGGGAGGAATATCTTATTTTTAATAAGCATTTAATGGATTTTGTACTGTGCTTTTTCATCAGGCTATATATTAGTTATGTTGTGACTCAGTATGCATTTAGTACATATTGTTCTGTCTAAGAATCTACCTGCATACTGATCTTGAAACTAAATTCACTTTCTTAATGGCTACCAATGTACTCTTTGTCCGATTTCGCAACGGTCCAGAATATTTTTTTTTTTGGAATTGTGAGCAACCTCACCAACCTCACTGACTTAGAGTCAGTGCTAGTAACTAATGCTAATGCTATTGACAGAAGCTTTTTTTCATAGTTCTGCCTCGCACTCTGTGAGTGTTATGAGACTTTAGAATGTCATATAGGCTCTTTGCGCTATGTTTTATAGTGCAGTGTTTGTTAATAGTTCAAGTTTAAGGTTCTCACACAACTGAGAATATTCGAACAACGCAGAGTGATTGTGTCAGCAGGTGAAGCACAGTAGCCATGCCCCAAAGCAATCTAACCTCAGTGTAGTAGTGCTTTTAATTTATGGAGGATTGTAATGCATTTGATAAAAGCTTAGGTCCTAGAAAACTTCTCCGTTGTAACTAGAATTACTTCTGAAGTGAAGATTAGCTCACAGGCACCTACTTCAGTATTCAAGTGCAATACAGTACTGTGCACTAGAAGTAGTTTGGCTTTGTTAACTTTTTTTTTTTTAATAACTTAATGCATCAAACAGGGCAAGCCATGGTACAAAGAGCATGACATCTGAAGAGATCCTGGAGACTTACGGAAGGAGGGAATGGAAGCATTTTAGTGCAGTCAGTGGAATGCTTTCCTGCTCAGGTAGTTGCATTTTAGTATGCTGTGTTCTTTGAAATTGCTCTGGCTATTTCAGCACTTCCTAGTATTAATTCTTACTACAAATACTTCAAATATTTTGAAAATATTTGAGCGGAGAATTACTGGAATAGGTAGTTTTTTGAGGGGGCTTGTTTTTGTGTTTTTAACTTCTAATACTGGAGGTCAACTTAAATTTAGATCACCACTGATGAGACAAATAACATCTCACATATAATGAGGTGATAATATAGGTCTATTTTAGTTATGGAAATGGGCACAGTGTTCCTTGTTGAAGTAGATTGAGATTGCCACACTTAGGACACCTGTTGGGCAAATCACAAATTTTTGTTAATTATTGACTCATTACGATCACTGCTGATATTGGAGGCTTAAGTGCCAAGTGCAAAGGACAGAGCAGATACGGAGACAAACCTACACTCCTTCTGTGATGAAGGTTTCTTTGTTTCAAGATGAAGCTACTTTGTGAAGGCTCTGTGATTCGGTCTGCATCCTTGCTAGCCACTTAGGCTTTGTCTCCGCTTTGGTCTTGGCCATTGCAAGTAAAAAAAGACGTTAAAAAAGACATAAAAAGACAAAGAGCTCAGCTAAGTTGTATTGTCCTCTATAGCGGGGATGTTTTCCTTAAGATTTTGCTATCATAACTTGTTTGTGATGCTTATTCTGAAGTACAGGTAATCTTTTGCAACTGAGCAGATGAGAGAGGTGCATCTACTATATGACAAAATTAAACTTTTCTTATTCTTTGAGAAGTGCACTTGGCCTCTCTTGTGAATATTAATCCTTGTTTTGCTGAGCAGTTCTTTAACATACATAAGGGACAGTACAGCCCCATGAATTTGTGAATATTAATCCTTGTTTTGCTGAGCAGTTCTTTAACATACATAAGGGACAGTACAGCCCCATGAATTAAAAAAAAAAAAAAAAACGCCCTTGAGTCATTTCACCCCTAGGAAAAAACTTCTTTTGCAACTGAGCAGATGAGAGAGGTGCATCTACTATATGACAAAATTAAACTTTTCTTATTCTTTGAGAAGTGCACTTGGCCTCTCTTGTGAATATTAATCCTTGTTTTGCTGAGCAGTTCTTTAACATACATAAGGGACAGTACAGCCCCCATGAATTAAAAAAAAAAAAAAAAAACGCTCTTGAGTCATTTCACCCCTAGGAAATAGCTGTTGAACATGGCCTCAGCCTGGGAGGGAAGTTTGTATCCTGATCATGAGCTATTTTGGAGGCTTGCATCATAAGGTGGGCCTGCTTTCCAGTGGTGCAGCACTGTTTCCACGAAGCCTTGTTCCTTGCACGCACATGCTAAGGCCTGTCCAAACATTTCTATGGGAAGTTCTTGAGCTCTGTGGGGCCGGTATTGGGCGTAAATGGCAGGGTTTCGGTGGCAGGGTGCTGGGAGGTCGTGAACCGCACTGTGCCAGTCACAGCTGGTTCCAGCCAGCTCTGAAATGTATGCAAACAACTGACCACCTGCCAAAACTGCCGCCCATCAGGGGAATATGTGGCACCTCTGCTTGGGCAGGTTTAAGAAAGGGCAGTGGCTGCTGAGGGCTGGATATGCAAGGACATCAGGGCAAGACACAAAGGGGGGCATGTAAGGAGAAAGTATGAAGAGACCTCTTTGGAGAAACAAAGCGGAGGAGGTGCATTGGAAGTGGACATTGTTGGGGACACAGCTGGAGATGTGCAATGGAAAGAAGTGTCCCATGCTGGAGGAGATACCTCTGAGGGACTGCAGCCACACGGGGCAGAGGCACTCTGAGGGACAGTAGCTGTGGAGGAAGCACACCAGGGCAAGGACACCCCAAGGGACATTGCTTATGTCTTCTTTGTTCCTCAATATCTGAATCAGTCATTAAAAGTTTGTGTTAATTGGCAATAAATTAAATTAAGAGAAATTCTCTGAGTCAAGACTTTTTTGCCCATGGCAATCCACTGCTAGGAAAAATTTTTGAAGGCTTGTATGATGCTGCCCTGACTCTTTTTTAAAAGACTCATGATTCTCCTCTGTCTCTTCCACCCCCTACTTCTGGGACCATAATATTTACTTTTAAAATCTCACTGCCTTGTTAATCTATAGATTAACAACTTTCAATTATTAGTGGAGTAAGACTCAGAAGTGGGAATGAAGACTTGTAAATTTATCATTAGATAAGGAAGCAAACAATGTTTATTATCAGTAAAATCCAAATAGGAGCTTATATTAACAGTAGAAGTTTTTTGTGTGTGTGATTAAACCATACGGTATGAATTAAAGGAAGTAGTTTTTTTGGGTTTTGATTTACTTTTCTTGGGTTTTTTTTCAGCTAAATACTATTTGTATGATAATTATTTTGACCTACCAGGAGCCCTCCTTTGTGCAAGGGTTGTGGACAGCTTAGATCAGGTAAGAACTAGATTATTTTAAATGAAATATTTTGTTATCTTTTTCCCTCATTATTAAATGCGTGCAAACCCTGTATTCAACAAAGTTAAGGTTTGTTGCTTTTTTCTGGTTTGAAACTTTACATTCTGGATTCGTAGTGTATTAAAGTCGTCTCCCAAGCTAATTATGAGATACATGGCGAGGTCGAAATATGTTTACTTCCACCAGAGGGCACAAATAACTAGCATAAGAATAGGCAAACACCTTTTCCTCAGGTTTACTATTTGATATGCAGAATATTGTTCTTAAAATCTCCCTGGATTATACTTGATGATACTTGAATTATATCTAATATAATTCTTCTGGATAGTATGGTTTGCTGACTCTCAGGGCTGTTAAATGAGTTGAAAGCTTAATTCTCTCCTCTTTAAACTTGTTTTTTTTCTTTTAAATATATTGATCTGATGTAAATATACCTCTGGGGTACCTGATTTTTTTTTGTTTTATTTCTCTCTGCTGTGCAACAAGTTAAATTCTCAAGACAAAAAAAAAATACAATTGCTTGAACTTTATTCAGTGCTTTATAGACCGATAGTATGTCCTAAATTCTACTGGTGAAGTTTAATGTTCTTAGTTTCAGTTGTGTTATAGGAGCCCTTATCTTAATCTGAACTTGTGGGCAGCTTGGAGAAAGAGAGGCTTCTTCCCGTAGAGTAAATATCTTTGCTGCGATAGAATTTCAGCTGTTATCTTCTGGCTAAAGATACCGAAGATACACTGTTAAAAACTGCAGATCCTAAACTTTGCCTGCAAAGTGGAATACAAAGCTGTGAGAGAGGTGTCCACCTTCCCTTTTGGTGTTGGCTGCTTGGTGCTCTACTCTAAAATAGCATGCTGAGTAGGTTGCTGCTTAAGTCCATGTGCTACATAAAGAGTTAGTTACCTAGAGCTAGCTTATAGGGAGACACTGAAGGCAGGTGTGTCATAAGACTCTTAATGGGATTTTGGTGCCTGATTAATCTCTTTCCCCTACAGTCTGCAGCTTAGAACCCTCTCTCAGAGGTGACATTTGTATTGTATTATTTTATTTTATATTTAATTTAGTCTCAGGGCAAGTGACCTATTTGTTGAGAGAAGGGTGGTGTCACAGCATGTGTGTAATATGTATGCACATCCAGTTACTAGTTCACAAGTTAGAACGCTGACCCTGTCTTCAGCCTTAGAGAATTAAACTCGTGTCTTGTTTCCCCAAAGAGCTACTAGAAGTGAGCCATGCATCTTCTTTATTGGCTAGCAGTTCTGGAATATTTTACTGCATATTGGTCCAATTTCAATAAGAGGACTACAGTAATTCCTAGGGATGTTACTGTCAGTCAGATGTTTCAGGACACAAGATAGGAGATGGTGGACTTAAACCTCTCCAGCACTCATGCCATGGACACATGCTGCAATTCTTAAGCTATTTTCCTGAGATGGTAGAGACTGTCACATTTTGTTCCATATTTTTACAATAAAATGGAGGCTTCTGCTTCCTGCTACAGGAGCCTTTTTAGTAAAGGCTATTTTTCATTGCCTTTCCAGAAAAAAATTTAAGATTGGGAAAGTCTCTTACTGGAAATAGACAGAACTTCTAGGTTTTGGGTTCAGAATGGGCTTAGATGTGGGATCCTGAACCACTCTGCGCTGCTACAGATGAAGCTGCTCCTGGCCTCTCCAGAACTCCTGCATGTTTTTAGACAAAGCAGAGGAGCTTCTCAGTGACTTGGACCTTTGCATTGAAGCTCTGTGCAGAATCCTTCTCTGTCTGATACTTCAGCTAATGAAATCGTATTTCATAAGCACTGCCAGATTGGTGGGTTGAATGGGCCTGCGCACAGTTCTCTCTCTGCTTGCTGGGTATTGGTCTTTGTTCTTGTGTATCTTAGTGCAACAGCTGTGGGTTTGCAGGGAACAAGTCTGACAATCATTTTGGTCTTCTCTGAGGTGAACTTTATTTTGAAGGAAGAGTACCCGTATTTAAACTAGTAACCATTTATCCACAGAAGGACACTCTTGAGGAACTGTTAGTTCATTTCACTGCTTAAAAAAAAAAAAGAAAAAGTCAATCACATGGAATATAAGGGGAGCTGACAGTTCAATCTGTCTGTTCAAAGTGGTAGCCTAGTGCTGTCACCACCAGACAGGTAGGAGTTCCTTGACATCTTAAACAAAATTTCAAGTAATGAACTTGGCTAGCAGCTAACTGAAATTTGACAGATAACAGAGCCTGTTTTCTGTATTAGGCCCTTAATGTATTTTTGCCATGGTTTGCTGTGGAAATTGATAACAATTAATTTAAAAGCTGGAACATTGTGTCTTTCCTGCTCTTAACCTATAGAGCCTGTGGATTAACCATAGGGCTGGTCAATTATGCACCTAAGGTCTTGATAATGGAACTTGCTCGTTGTCAAATCAAAGGCAAACTGTTCGTCCAGAAGACCCAATGGCAATTTACTTCAGCACATATAAAGTCTGTGCTTTTTGTTGGAGGCATTAAGTTTACTTCAGTTTTTGAACATTTCCAGCTCTTGAAAGCACCTTCTGCATAAAAAGTGAGGCATTTTTCATGTATCAGTGCAAAAGTGGGCTGAGAGGTTCAGATCACAGAGGACAATGACATGAAATCAGTCAACAATTGCATCAAAATTTCTGCTAATGTAGGTGTGGAAAGCCTGTAACAACACTGCAAAAATAATTTCCACAGTGTACAGACTTAAAGGTTTCAGGCTGTACTACCTGCTAACTGCTGCTCTTTACTTTGAAACTTTGAGCACCTCTTAGGAGCTCCATAATTAACCGACTACTCTGTAGTGTGGTCTGGTTGCCTTATTGCATCTATGCTTAATTCAATGCTCTTAAAGTTTCTAGTGCTTGAGAGTGCTCTGGGACTCAGCTAGTTTAGAAGCTTTTTCTCTCCCTTCATGAGATCCTGAAAGGGCAGTTGAGGTTAAGTGGAGCATTTCTGCACTCTGTTCCTCGGACGGCTTTCTAGGAATGGCGAGAGACTGTTCGTAAGCGCAGATTGTTTTTCGTTGTCGTTTTGCCAGAACTAGGGTTTGGCAGTCTTCAAAGTACAATGCAGCACAGTGCTGCTCAGCCTGGCTTCTGGCTGCATATTTTATATCGTGTTTGGGGTGGAGTTATTGGCAGAAGGACATGACCACTAAATTCTAGTGAATGTTTTTACCAATTCAAAGGATGGAAGGTGATATGAGTGCCAGACTTTAGATGATGTCAATCTGCTAATTAAGTACAGAATCTGCCCCACGAGGAACTTCTTTTTCCCAGATGTCAGTGGGATGGCTCGTTGAATAAGTTGCTGTTCCACTTAATGCTCTTCTTTGCTGTAGTGTTTTCGAGTCCCTCACAAATATTCATCCTTTCTCCTTTACCTTCCCTCCCCCTTCCCTACATCTTCTTCTCCTGAAGAAGGAAGGTAACTTGTCTGTGGTTACCCATAGTTCCCAGTCAAGCTAGGTGCTGAATCTTGATCTCCTGAATCCCGCTACCTAAGACTGTTTTACTCCTTTTAAAAATCCTCTTATTTATTTATGGCATTCCTATCATTGTCTCAATATGTAAGCTCAAAATAACTGATACCTGATGTAATGACTAGGTTCCATTGACTCTTATAGCATGATGGGCAGAAAAAATATGACTTTTGGAAGGACATGGTGGCTGCGATCCAGCATAATTATAAAATGTCAGCTTTTAAAGGTAAGTAAGTGGGTTCACTGAAAACTGGTTATAATAGCTTAAAATATTGCATATGCTTGCCTGAGCAGAGATGAGTGCCTCTGTAAGTATCCTGTATTTTACTCAACACAGTTTTTACTTTTCAAGCTTATAAATAATTTTATAGTACACATGTTTATGCTAAAATAGAAAATCTTTACTGTTAGTATATATATCTAGTTTATCTGGAATTGTTTTGATATCCATAAAAAACACTTGTGATATGCTGTCTCATTGAATTCAAAGGGAAAAATAGTTTCCTTCCCAAACTGTACTGTAGTGTGAACATCCTTGAACTGTATTTAAACTCTGTTGTTCCTTATGTTCTTATGCTCACAAATAAAATTAAAATGCATTGAAAAACCCTTAAGTAACTACTATTTGGTGAATTTCTTTAGCGCTCTAGTTTTGAACAGAACTCCTTATGTAGTCATTTGAGACAATGGTGAGAAGACTTTCCTATTTCCTAATTTTTCAAGCTATCTTGAAATTCTGTTAAATTTACCAGAAATTACAGAAGATTTTTTTTAAAGATAATAGCCTTCCTCCACCAAAAACTTTAGTATATATTAGAATTGGAGAACAGCTTGGATCCCTTCAGCTAGAAATGGTGTTCCTCCTTTCACAAACTAAACTCCTGAGTTTCCATTAAGTATATAAAATGATATAAGTTGAGAATAAACATTAAAGATCTTGCATGTGCACACAATGAAATGAAATTATTTTAGCTATGAATTCTTTGTAAAAAGATTATATGCAGTATGATGCAGAATTCTGTATCATTTTTGCTGCCAGTGTTTTCTGGTAGAATTACCTCTGCTGATACAACAATCATTAGACACAGGTATAGTTTAGATCTTATTAAAACTTGTCTTCTGTTCACCAGAGATGTAGTATATGTTGGAATATGCAATGAGATTTAGTGTATTTTTTCAAATGTAACTGACAAAATTGTCTCAGAAGGGCTCCAAACAAAATTAAAATATTAGAATATTGATGTTAGAATGCATATTGTCAAAGATAGCTATATACTTCTCAAGTGTTTTTGTTTGTTGTTGTTGTTATGTCTCCATCAAAGGTGAGAGTATGTGTGGTAGTTAAGAATACCTCCTCCATGAGCTCAACTTACTCATTCATAAGATAAAAGCATGCTATGTTTTTGGCTAATGTTAAAGAAATCAATTGTAATGAACTGTAACCATATTTCTTCAGAATTCACATTAATTCTTTTTCAAATCATGACAGGTGTTTGCTTTTAAAAGGTGTAGATGATGCAGAGTTTAATAAATAGAATAATTGCAAACAGTGTTCTTTGGAAAGGAATTAAAAAGAAGCTGAAGTTTGGTCTCAAAAAGCATATAAGTAATTACATGCCTATATTTATATATGTGTGTGTGTATGTATTATATACATATGTATATTCCTGCCTGTTGTACATATTTCTGTATGTAAGTATGGAACCTGCATATAAGCGGATGGGCAGTATGACTTAATCCTTTCTAATTCCTCTCAGAATTGGTACTTACTTTAATGCACCTGCACCTTAATTTTAATACACCTCTGTGTTACAAAAGCCATGAAGTGCACACACGTCAGTTATAAACTTTAGGATAACATAGTAACTGATAGGCGTGAGCTATTTTGGATAAATTTTGTAAAACAGCAAGTTGTAAAACAATGCAGATTGTACATGGTGCTTAAAAGTTTTAATGTATAAATATGCTAAGGTCTGTCTTGCATCATTTTGAAAGGCCTCATAGTGGCCTTATTTTCGTTTAATAACCTTGTCCCGTGGATAATGCACTGACCAGGTTTAGAAGAACTGGAGATTATTTCTTCCTGTATCATTTACCTGTGATATTCCTATGGAGTATCTTTTTTTGCTTTAGGTTCTCCTCTATGGAATGGAAATAGTGATATTGGTTTTCTGCCACAGGTTTATGCCAAAGAGGTTTGTTTTTATTTTTGTTTTTGTTTTTACCCTTTGGCTGCAAGCTTGACATAACTTCCTGTGGAAACTTTTAAAGCTGGCTGTAGCCCAATTTCTACATACTAGGAAGTCCCATGGTCTTTCTCAGCCCAGAGGTTGGGCTTGCAAACCACAGCCTCTTGACTTAACTGCATACCCTCAATGCCTTGCAGAGGGTTTAACCCATTAGAGAAAAACAGTGCGCATTTACAGGTAGTCAAGGTAAATTTTGTAAAGCAAACTTATTAAGTGGTCAGTTGAGGAGACATAAAGTTCCTAAGTCAAAATGCTGTCTTAGTAGTGCCATTGTCAGTGATGGAGCAGAACGACTGGCAGTTTTATTTTCTGAAATCCGTAAAGTGTTTGCAAGTCACTCTGTCTCTGGTTTGTTGTCAGTATGCCCTTGTTTCTCTATGTCCCTTCTTTTTTTCACATGATTTCTTTGATCGTTAGTCAGGTGTCTGGTGGATTTTGCTTTTCATTGTCTTAGCCATGGTAATTGCCTTAGATAATTGCCCTTTTATTTTTTTTTTTTTGGATAGCTCTTTCAGATAGCCGTGATCATCTTAACTCTCAGCTTAATGCAGGGTATTAACTCCCTCTTTTACTTGTAAGGAAGTGAAGAAATGAGGCTTGCAGAAAGAACATAAGATACAAAGAACATAAATTTGAATTTTATTCAAATTCACTGTTATGAAGGAGGACCCCCCCAAAATTGGGGGGAATCTATTAAAAATACTATTAGAAAAGCATGGTGCCGAAATAGTAGAAGCACAGTGACAAAATAGTAATGAGCACAGCCATTCTCATTTTCAGAATGGTCATTTCTTACCTAGCAGTACATGCTAGAGTAGGCGCTCAACTTTTATATCAATTGCAGTTAGCAATGTCTTGAGAATCCTTTTTGTAAAACTTAGGTTTCACTTAAGATTGGGATATTTTGCTGCTTTAAGGTGATTAACATTGCTTCATATCTGTTTCATTTAGGGTATGTTCTATTTCCCACTGTATAAATTAACAAAGAGCAATTTTAAAGGAAATGCCATGTGGCAATATGATTTACCCTGTACACTTACGACTCTGCCCACAATACATTATGGGAGTGAAAATTGATCTTAAGAGGACTAATGAGGGCTTGAAGTACTCTAGAAGCATTTCCACATCAAAACATTTCAGAATTAAAACTTCTTAAAACAGAATTTTATAGAATGTCTCTTAAAAGCTTGTTTCTCCCTCACTTGCATGGTTGTCTTTCCCTATCATTTCCCTGACACTTCTGGTAACTAAAACCACTGTGGTTAGTATAGTTAAAATTATACATTTATAATATTTTCAGTTGACTCGTGGTTATATTTTGTGCTGGAAATGAAGAGTCTTCATAAACTGCCCATAAGAAGACTTGATGGGATATGCTGTCAGGTTTCAAGAGCGCATCTGAGAAATTTCTCGCTGAGTATCTTCAAAAAAAAAAAAAATCCACACACAGAGAAAGAATATAATACCCTTTTTTTTAATAATTGGCTTTTAATCTTTCTATTTCTGATGTAATTGGTCAGTATTCTGAAGTGCCATGCTTATACATGTGAAGTGTGATTTGGGGGGGAAGACTTCAGATCTTTCTAAACTACTTGATCCTCTCCCTAAGCACTACCTCTCTCCCTCTCTTCCCTCTCTCTCTCTCTCTCACACACACGCACACACACACATACACGCTGTGTAATCACAAGTTTATGGTATTGCCCATTTGTCTTGGCAGAAGATAATTTCTCTAGATGTCTGTGATATCTTTATATTTTATATGCAACTTTAAATACAACAAACAAAAAAGCGAAGATTCTTTTCTGGCCAAAAGGAAAGAATTCTTTAAAAACGCTATGAAGTATTAGGAATATTAGGTAGAAAATAGGTAGAAATAGAAGAAGGAATAGCTAGAGTTCAGAGAAAAGAGAGAATTGCCTTAATGCTGAAAATGGCAACAAAGATAAGAACAAATAAATTTGTTAAACTTTTTCCCTGGGCTTTTCAGCTAAAAATAGAAGGGATTATTTGGGTACTTCATACATTTGGTAACCATTTGAGAACTATTGAAATTCAAAAATATTTTTGCAGCTGTTGGAAATGAGTTTTTCTACTCTTACAGGCATTCATGTTTTGATTTTAATCTCATATAGGATATTTTTTTTGTCTAATGCCATCATCCTGAAAACTGTGAGGTTTTTGGAAGAGCTTTATCTTTAGACAGCTTGCTAATTTTCATGTGGGCAAGATATTTAGAAAATAGAAACAAAAACAAGCCTGTAAGACAAACACAAAGAACTCTCTTTAAAAGTGCGTCAGAAATCCCCAGTCTCCCAGGGAGATAGGTTGAGGAGCGCTGTGATTTTTGACCCTTCTGTCTGAGCCATAGGATGATCATCCATATTGTTGCCTGGCTGCATCTACCTTTGCCAAAGCACAGCATTCAGTGGTTACGTATTTATTTTCCAGTAGTCTTTCCTTCTCCCTTCAGCTGCATGTAGATAGGATTGACTTCTTCTTTGAAGAACACACTTTCTCATAAGTATAATGTAGTTTATATTTCTTCATAATGATTAAGAGTTTTAAAAACCCCTCTCAAGGTTCTTTCTAGGTCACGAATCAAAAACTAAAATCAGGGTATAAACTCTGTTTGTATCACAATTTGTTGTGTAATCTCTAAGTCTTCAGTGTTTTAGGTTGCTTTCTTAATGTCTGGATACTTAGGAAAAGTCATCCGAAAGGCAGACCTCATGTACTAAGTTGTAGACTTATCTGAGGTCCTGTATGTTCATTGGAGAAGCAAAGATATAAAAGGACAAAGCCTAGTTCCATTTAAAGTGGATGCAAGATGAGTATGAGTGAACTGTACTTTCAAGAATACAGGGTGAAGATTAGTTAATTAGAATCCCAGGACAGTAATGTACTGCTGAGCATCGAGTATCTCAGGCAATGTTAAACATGTGCTTTGGCCTGCATTTCATATATATTGCAATTAACCAAAACTGTACAACTGCTGAACAGTTTTTTCCATCTCCATTACCCAACCACTATTTGTTTCCAAAACAAAAGTGCCAAATTAGTTGAATGTATTGGCAGCAGCACATGCTATGTTTAAATACTGGAAAGATGAATTAATGATCTTATGCAAGTGACTGCATAGGAAAAAGTTTTTTAGTACAAAAAAAGAGAGAATTCTTAGCAGACCTGTAATTAAGTTTTCATTTAAACTAAGAAAGTGGAAAAGTGAAGACTGACATTTCAGATTGAAGCGCCTTGAGCTGTATTTTGGCTTGACAAAAAGAAGTATCACAGAATTACTACTTGTAACTTGTGGTACTGTCCACAGTATTATTTCTGTACAAACATTTGTAATGTAATGTTTGTAACAGTGTTACCAGTTTCACCTGTCTCGGTCTACCCGGAAAGGCAGATCTAATGTTACTCTCTCCTTGGGTATTTATTACTTTAGCAAAGTATAGCCTAAGCTGCAGATGTCCTTACCAAGCAACAGTTAGTAAAGAGAGCAAAAACAATTGTGCAAAGTTACTTTCTTCATTACAGTTCATTACAGTTTCTGAAACTGTACATATAGTCTCACTAATGGTGGATCAACTTAAAGGTGCCCTGTTTTTATTCATAACAACATTTTATCAAGTGCTTAGGAAACTTCACGTTTCAAATGTGCACAACATAATAAGTCTCAGGTTTTGCTTTCATGAAGAAATGGTGACATCAAAGCACTTTTAAACATAAGCTTATGTACTTTTAATTCAAGAGATTAAAATCTTCTGTTAAAAAAAGAAGCTGAATAATAGTTTTAGAGTTGATAAGCTTTTGAAGTATGTATTTCTAATGCGGAGCATGAATGGTAACTGTCATCTGAAGAAATGTGTAATCAAACTGTCACAGTTAGAAAGTTTATAAGTACTCACTGTAGCGAGCTAGATCACTTTATATCATTAAGTTTACATAGTGTCATATAGATTAATGTAATATCTAATGTTTATGAATGTGTGCTGGATATGATTGTGTCCTGACTAATTACTGTTACCATCAGATGAATTTATTATTTGAGTAAAATATGTTCCTAGTTTTTCTTGCATAATTAAGACAGGTGTTTTTGGAAGGAATGAACTGTTCAAGGAAAAACAACATAAGAACTGTTAATTTTGAGGTAGTGAAGCTATTCTAAATATCTTTAAATATGAATGTCTGAATATTTGTGAAGATATACTCTTCTAGATTTAGTGATAGGTGTATTTTACTGTACTCTGAATATTGTAGTTTTATGGAATATTAATTAGGAGCTTAAAATACTGAACTGAATGTGTTGCGAGAATGTTACAAAATGTGCCTTAAAAAAAGTAGTTGAGTGGATTTCTAGGCTTCAAATCTGATTGCTTTTTCCTGTAGCGAAATTCTTAGCTCTTCAGAAATAGGCAATAATTCCTGAATTTACCAAGGCAGATTTTCTTTAATAAGAAAAGCTGAACTAAATTAAAGCTGTGATGTAATATGTGCTATATTAGAGTTGTGTTTTCTTAACTCCTGTTTCATAGCTTAAAGATGAAGCTGACAGCGGACTAATGTTCCTGAAGTATATTCTGTAACTGTTGCGATGAGCACACTATGTCTGAGACTATTTACTTTGAATAATACCTTCTGTTAACTCAGGTATAGTGAAGTATGATCTTGAGTCGTGGAATGGCTACTTTGCATGTTCTGAGAAATTACAGAAGTACTGATTCTCCTTAAAAAAAAACAAAGACACGTGCATCATATTAATTCATAAACTTTTAATGTTGCATTCAGTTGGACAATTGATCATGGTTTGAAACAAAGTGTTCAGAAATAAATTTCTATGACAATCTTCTAAAAACATACAATATTATTTTATTAGGTTTGGACCAATTTCTTCTACCCTCTCACTCTCTCTCTCTTTTCTGTTGCAAAATTGAAGTTGCATGACCTACTGATAACATATCAAGTCAGAACCCAATTAAAATGGTCTGAAGGAGGGAGTGTCAGGTCTGCCTAAGTGAGACACTGTTAGATTTGAGCAAATAAGAAACCTGAGAAAGAGGAGTGGACATAGTCAGAAGAATAGAGACCATTAGATTCTGAATTGGGCAGCTGGAGCCATACTTGATCATTCTCCATGAGATCGATGACAGCACTACCAGAAGCCTGGTCAAGGTATCCTTTCTTATACTCATCATAAGTATACATGAGTGGGGAACCATTTTTGTAGAGTGCAACCCAAACATTTGTTCCTTTTGCATGTACATGGTAGGAGAAATAGTAAAGTCCAGGGATTCTGCAGGTAAAGATTCCTGTTCTGGGGTCATAATGTTGCTGCCTATTGTACAAGATTTTATCAAATTTAATAGGGACTGTTGCCCCTGGGTAGGCTTTTGAGAGGATGACGCTGAAAGCAGATACTGGCATCCCTGTAAGGGCTTGGTTTACTCCTGCTTTCATAAAAGACATTCCTGATAGGTCTCGAGACTCACCTGCTTTAACATAGCTTTCTGGCATCTGTGGGATTACAGCTTGGCCAGGGGGACCAGGAGGACCTGGTGGGCCTGGCAAGCCAGGCTCTCCATTGTTGCCCTTAGGGCCAGGGGGTCCGGGTGGTCCCATGGGTCCGCTTAAGCCTTTTGTAGAGATACCTGCTGGACCTGGCAGTCCTGGTGCTCCTGGCTCACCTTTCGCACCAGGGGCTCCTGGTATGCCAGGGGGCCCAATGGGGCCTCTGATCCCAGGTATTCCTGAAGGTCCTCTGGGGCCTGGTTCACCATTGATTCCTGGCACACCCTTAATTCCTTGTGGGCCAATTGGACCAGGCAAGCCAGGTAATCCAGCATGGCCAGTGTCACCTTTCGGTCCTGGAAAACCTGGGTGTCCCTTAGGACCAGCAAGACCCTGTTCACCTGGATATCCTGGTTTTCCATCTAATCCTGGTAGGCCTCTTTCACCTTTCGCTCCAGGGAATCCTGCAGGGCCTACAGGGCCAATGTCGCCTTTGGGTCCAGGTAGGCCATTTTCACCAGGTAAGCCTTTGAGTCCTTGAGGGCCCATGTTGCCTGGTGGTCCAGCAGGCCCTGGTTCACCTGGCGCACCAGCTGGGCCTTGGTCTCCTTTTGGTCCTGGAATGCCAGGAAGACCTTCAGGCCCTCTATGTCCTTTCATCCCTGGCAATCCGGGCTTTCCAAATCCTGGCAGACCTGGGGATCCAGGCAAGCCTGCTGGTCCAGGGTGTCCTTTGGCTCCAGGGATGCCTGCTGCTCCGGGTGGTCCAATTGGTCCAGACTTGCCAACACCTGGTTCTCCGGGTTCTCCTGGGGGACCCTGGGGACCTGGGATACCAGCTGCTCCGGGTGCACCTGGTAAACCTCTGTCACCTTTCATACCTGGCTGACCTGGAAGGCCGTTTTCACCAGGCTTCCCTATCCCAGCAGGACCAGGGAGGCCTCGGGGTCCTTGTGGGCCTGGAAGCCCCCTGCTACCTGGTTGGCCTGGAACTCCAAATCCATTTTCTCCCTTTTGTCCATTTATACCAGGAATACCTGGTTCTCCCTTCTCACCAGGGAGACCCCTTGGCCCTTGAGCTCCTGGAGGGCCCTGGGAGCCCAACAGGTCCAGCATCTCCTTTCTCACCATTTAATCCTCGATCGCCTGGCTTTCCTGGTAAACCTGGCATGCCAGGCTTTCCAACAGCAGAGAATCCGGGAGGTCCTGGGGGACCAGGGGGACCCTGGGGACCTGGACTTCCAAACCCTGGTTTTCCTGCAGGACCTGGTTGTCCTCTCGGTCCGATAGGGCCTGGGGGACCAGGGGGTCCTTGTTCTCCCCTTATCGGCACACCTGTGAGAGAGAGGAAAACAGATCAATCAGGACAGCTATACAAGACTTGCAGACCTGTAGCATGCTGGTAACATGTGAAGGGTTAACTTGACCCTCACAGAAGTCGAGTTTCTAATATTGCAATCAGGTACTAAGGACCCAATCTCAAGTTCAGAACAAAAAAAAGTAACTCAAAGTTGTGACATGATTAAGTAACAGAATCAAATGTGCTAGAGTTGTGCCATGGGAGTGACAAGCAATAAGGTCTCTAGAAATGTTTTTGGACTGAAAACATTTAGTGGCATCAGAGATCTTGAAGGATATTGTGCAAATAGATGCAAACTCTTAAGGAAGAAATAAAATAGGTAATAGATTTAGCAGTGATGAGGTAAAATGAGGAATATTTTCCGTTAGCTGAATCTTGCTGCCTGATGCGCAGAGGATATGCAGATGGAGTGTGTCACAACCGGAGTAGAGGAGAATTTTTCTAATTGCTGATTTTGCTCTTTACAAACTTCTTTGCTAACTCTTTTTTTCACAGAATACTTTTCCAAATAGCAAGAGGAGCATTGTGCTGTTTTTTTCCCAAAAATTATTAATATTTTTGAGTTAAAATACTGCTGCTTTACCTTCATTACAGTTTATAGTGGTTTGCTTCATAAATGAAGCTGATGTGGGATATAAACCTGAGAATGCCGTAGGCTCATGGGTTGCCCAAATAACAGATGGTCTTCTCAGCTATATGTAACATTATTGCTATGCTAAATCTTTGGAAAATCTTTTTTGTTTGTTTGTTAATTTTTTAAGTGTTTTGTCGTGCTATATTGGCAAAAAAGGTCTTGAATTTAGTAGTTGTGATGATGATCCTGATATTGAAAAAAACAAAAATAAAAAAACCCAAAAGCAACTTCATGTGCAGATGTGGATTCCCTTCTAAAACTACTTGTTGCCTCATTTTACTGGTGAGACTTCTGGCCTGTTTTCCCTTCTCCAGAGGTAGGCCATGGCTCTCTCTTTTGTTAAACACATAAAACAATATTTCCAAGTGGTATCTTAAAGCGTGCAATTTGTAGTAATAATTTCTCTTCTCACAGTGGCAAGTTCTTAACTGATAATGCACCTTGCTGCAGCTGGAATTCCAGCAGGTTAGGGGTTTTTTTCCACTTAACCAGCTGTCACAAATACAGGAATTTAAAAAAAAAAAAAAAAAGGGAGGGCTTTGCTCAGCTTTCTGAGAACTTTGAGGGAATTTACAGCTTCCTGTTGGAATTAGGATGTTGATTTGTAGGATATTACAGAGCAGATTAAAAGGGATATTGGGGGAGTAGTAAAACGCAGTGAAAATGCGGCAACTGGTACCATTATAGCACAAACTACTGTAGTTATGGTAAATATCCATTTCAGAAGGTATGCAATACTAAAAAGAGACTGAAGGATATAGGAAGCATCTGGATTTTGATTTTTATAGTGTTGATATATTCTACTTGATAATGCTTAGAAAAGACTGTTAGTTGATCAACAACTGATCAGCAAGAGTTTGCCTTTCGGTCTCTTGCAAAGAGAGCAGAGTATGAAGGAAAGCGTGTGCACAAACTGCTGTCGCTGAGATAATAAATTGCTTTTTCCAATTTTTGCCTAGTCTTGATAAACCAACAAATGCGATGAAACAGTAAGAAGAAAACTATTCTTGTGCATATCAAATTTTCAAAAATAGTATAGAGAAGAGCTGTATGTATGTGCATTTGATTTTGATTTGATATCTGCAAGGTTGCTTTCTTCCTATATTACCAGGAAAATTTTTCTTATCTACTAAGTGTAGAGAGTACATTTGCTTTTTTGCTGATGCATAAAAGCATATCACTTCAGTTTGCACACCTTGCTATCTAATCATCCATTAAGCAAGTGAAAAGGAGGATAGCTCATAAAATCCTGGAGACAGGAAGAAAACAATGCCTGTCCTTCATCAGCAAACTGAAAATGCAAATATCCTTCTTTCTCTTCTGAAAGAGAAATTGTGAAAACTGTGAGTAAGTGATGAGTCTCATGTAGTCTTTGCTGTCTAGCTCATTCTTGGATTTTTTACTGCCGAAATCTGCGATTCAGTAGGATGCAATTGAAAGTTTGTGTTTTTTGTAATATAGGTGATACCAGAGAAAGCAAATTTTAAGAACATCATATGAAGTTGGGAAAGGCTTAAGCCCACTAGAATTAACACAGCCTGCTGTGGAAGTGGTGTGTTAATGTTCTTTTAGCGTTTTACAATTTCTTTTCACCACAGATGACAGAACTGCCATCAGTGAAAACAGCTTACTGAAATGAAGGAATCAGTGCGCTCCTTGAATTTATTCCATAGGTTCTAATGCTGAGACAAGATTCTAGTGACTTCAGAAACCGTCTTTTCACAGGAGAGTTACGAGAACATGGGCAGGTCAGATTAAAGCCTCTATACAAATAGCTAAACAGGTTCCTGGGCTAATGCTGTTCCAATTGTATAGTGTTTGGGGGAAAATATGAATAGACTTTTACATGAATTTCACTTTTCATTTTAGTGGAATCTAAAACTAAGCATTTATGTGGGCACTTCGGCAGAAGACAACAATGACCCCAGCCAGGTCTGCTTTTTCATAACTACAACTCAAAGAACTATGTCCAGGCCTACTAAGGGAAATGTATTTTGCCCTTTAGGAGCAAGAGTGAATTTAATTTCTGCTGTGAGGCAACATTCATTTTATTCAGCTGTGCTTAAGTAACATGCAGTTATTACATTGGACCCAATTCTCCCTTTTATCTTTTTTTTTAAGAGGAGGGGGCACAAATTACATTAGACTTCAGAGTGTTTCTTCTTATTGCTTTTTACCTCATTTTATGAACCTAGGACTGATAGAAAGTTGCATCTACTGTGGTGGATACTGCCTTTTGCATAAGATACTAAAATCTTTATCTCCTATTATCATAGAGATTAAAATGATTAATAGTTGTACTAAAGACATCTCTGTAGTCTAGAGACGCTAGTAAGTCCTCTTAGTGAAGGACAGCTGGGCACATTAATGAAGTAGGATTTTTACCAGGAAAATTGAAGTAGTGGTTGGCTACTCTTCTGTATTTCTTGGCGTGCGTCTTGATAGGAAATTGGTTTATGTATTCTGAGCGCAGTCAAACTGTGTTTATGTATTGAATTAAGTATGAAGACTTTAGCATAACCTGCAGTGCAGGCTTATTATTTTGTTTAAGTATTGCTGAATAGTTAGACTTAAATCCATGATTATTCTCAGCTAGGACTTTCACAAAGACTTCAATGCAATGCACTAATAGATTACAAATAATGTCCTGGTATATTTACAAAATGATAACCCTAAGTACACATAGAAAAGGAAAATATATTCTGACTGGAGAGCTGTTAAGAATATTTTTAATACTGTTAAACAATTTCATCAAATTAAATTAAGCTTTATTTAACGTATCTTAATTGCCAGCAGAAACGCTTTCTGGAATTGCACACAACATTGGTAGTTGCCACTAAACTAAAATTAAGGAAAAACATTATTTGGCTTTATTAGTTTGGTAGGTACCTATACAAGAATTTCTTTAACAGAGCTTGCATTTTATCAAGTTTTGAAGAACCCTACCTTTGCAATTTGTCTATTTTTTTTTAATATAAAGTTAAAGAATGTAAATTAAAAGTACTAAATAGTAGTTCTACCTTCATGGTACGTTCTTTCAGGTAGTAAATACTTTCAGGTAGCATAGAAGAGGGAAAAGCAATTAAATTGAAGATATTTTAAGTTCTGTAAATTAATCCTTCACCTCAGCTTGCTGTGTTTCATAAAACAAAGTGGTAGATTTGTCATTTGTATGAGTTTTGTTGAGATTGGTAGAGATTGGTAGTAGAGATTGGTTTTTCTGTAGCTACTTTTGTTGCACAGCATCCCTCACACATACACTGGACCTGCTTCTAGACTGATTCTGGACACTGAAGTTGCTTGTGCCCAGCAGAGAAACATCTCTTAGAGAACTGCAAAGGCAGCTTTACTCTGATGTTGTGGCAGATCCACTAGAACGTGTACCTGCCTCCTGCAGAAATGAACGTACAATTTTTTGTCCTAGGTTTTCTATCAGATGCTGTTGTATGACCGACCTATGCATGTTGTCATAGGTCATCAGTTTTGGCCTAAATTGAAGCCTAGCTCCAAAGAGCTTTCTGGCAAAGCTATGTAAAACATGAAGAGAATTTGCTAGTAAGTATCTACAAAGTAAGATTTAAAAAAAAAAAAGATATGAAAAGTGAGCAGCGATGGAAAGTTTGCAATATGCTACTGGAGCTACTCACTTGTCTAAAGACTCACTAGATATTCATATAATTAAAAGGGATGAAATTGGTTCTGTAGTCTCCTGTTTGTTCTTCTGGGAGCATCTCAGGTTAGAAACAATGATCTGTAGCATACTTTGCTCCTTAAACCTCCTCTAGAAAGCTCTATAGGATGCTTGTTTTTCAGCATGAAGAGTAGTAATAGGTTTCCGGTCCTCCATTGTGAGGCTTGTTCCCAAAATGAAGATTTCGTGAGCAAATTACGAAGGACCGAACCCCATATTCTGTAAAACTGTAGGTTATTCCTTTGGCAGTCTACTATATAGCCTTTGTTCCCTTTCCTGAAGTGGACAGCATTTTAAATTTTTCATAGGTTTATGTAGTCATTCTAGATACGAAGTTATACACACATTAGATTCTGTTACTTAACTATTTAAAGTGAAAACTTAGTTCAGGATAACTCATTTCTCTTTTCCTTTCATCCCATTTCCTGTCTACCTTCTTCATCCCTTTTTTCTAATTTGCTGCTGTTTTTTCCCCTTTCCAGATGTTTTGTTTGGAGGGGAAAAAAAAAACACCATGAGGGAAGTTTGTAGAGGAGGAATAAGTAAACAGTGTATTTCCCTTTCTTGAAAAAAATTTTTATATATATATATATATATGCATACATATACAAGTAATACTGACTAAAGTCAAGGAAAAGCACCATGAAAACTTAAAGTGGAGAAGGAGGAAATGCAACTCTAATCTAGTGGAGGTTCCAGCTAGCAAATGCTCAGAGTAACTGTTTACATGCACATACCTAAACTTGCTTGTGCTCAATCTAAGAGTGCCGCAGCTGGTAGGATGCCAGCAAGTCCCTGGGCTGAAGGCAAGGGATGAAGCAGTAATAGTATTTTGGTGGTTTTTGGAAAAAAATATCCCAGTCATTCTTCTTACTGTGCATTAGTCCCCACCGCATAGCATTCTTAGAACATGTGAGCTGGTGTCCTTTGCGGGGAAATTAGGACTGCTCTTTCAGTTTCACGTCTGACGCTTAGGAGCATTTGGTCCATAGGACCAGACTAGAGCTCATCTGAAGTGAAACCCTCTAAATGTATATGATGTGGATGCTATGCCCTGAGCAGCAACTGTGTTGCTCTCCAGATCTGCTTTACTGTGCTGCTGTTTTGTCATGTAGACATAGTCTAAAACATCTTTCTTCTGATAAGAAAGGAGAAGCAAATTTGCAAATCCTATTTCTGAGTCCTTCACTCAGTTTCCTCATTCCTGCCCGGGTATATTTACTGTAACTAAATGTAAATGAGATACAGTGAAAATGTACAATGAGAAAAAGTGAAAACTATTCTGAATAACCTCATGAAGTCCAGAAGAAAAGAATGCTATTCTTGGGGGGAAGTGGGGGATGTTAATAGAGAAGCTTTAGTACTCTCAATTTTAGTGGAAACGACTTTGAACAGAGGCTACTGATCATCCTTTAGGGGGACAATTCATCAAGTATAACAGGACCTAGTAAGTTAGAAGTTTTGATTTTCAAGGTTTAAAAAGGCTTTGGCATGAGTGAGCACTAGCTATTAAAAAATAGCAGAGCTTTCTTATAAAGTTAAGTGTAGCCTCACAGATGACTTGTAGAGACAGTGAGGATACAGGTACTTTCTGATATCTTCATTCTGCCTATAGCATGTACAATTATATATTGTCTATACAGTCTATCATAAGATTGATTTTTGACATCAAGAGAACTTTTCATAGTAAAGATAGAATTGTTGTATTACTATGAGATTAGTCGATACTTAAGGTATAAACTGAAGTCACTTGTGTAAAAAGATATAGCGGTTTCTGTCATATTTTTGTGAACTCATATCACATTATTTTGCCTTTTGATACTTCAAACATTTTGCCTTTTGATACTTTAAACAAGATGTTGTCAACAGCAGGCAACAAGATGTTGTCAACAGCAGGCAAATGCCAGAATCACTCCGAGACCTTTCTGCACTGATGATATTACTTTAATAAACCTAAACTCTGAATGAAAGTTGAATACCAATAGTATAAACAGAAAGCTTTTGTCCACATATTGATATACATATTGATACTTATGTTAATTTGTTACTAAAAAAAATAGCAAACTTACCTTGACTTTTTACATTGAATGGTAGGAAATGTGGCCCTTTAATGCTGGATTGTTTCTGGTATCGCTCAGAAAAGTATCCATCACTACCATGGACAATGTTCAGACAAAACAGCAGCAGTAAGGATATTTGTAAATGCATGTTTCCAAATCCGTTCTGTGTTAGAAAGGGGGGGGAAAAAGTTTGTTTTAGAGGAAAGTTGATCAATTCAGTTTTCTGTGAATGCATAAATGGGTTTTGTTAAGCTATTAACAGCTTTGTATTATTTTATGCTTAATTCCTCTGGCACCTCCTCACCCAGCTGTGAAAAATACTCTAAGAGAAAGGGAATCAGTGTTGTTGACCAAGGGTTTCGGATGGTAGAGAGCTCTTCTATAGATACACTGAAGGCAAGAGTCTCTCTGTTACTCTTCCAGTAATTATTTCCTCTTAAGAAAATAAGTAATTTTAAATAGGTGCCAGTTAAAATCACTATCTTCAGAAGCAGTGACTATTTTGCTAGTTATACTAGGGCTTCAAAACTAAGTTCAGCCTATTTCAAAACTCCTGGAATGAAGATAGGTTTTCCACAGAAATACATAGATACTCTTCTATGACCTTACTGGTTCTGTCTAATGCTATAGCAAGTGAAGCATGAAGTCCTGTCTGCTTCAGCATCAATGGCAAGAATCTCACACTGCCTTGCTTGAAACCAGGGTTTTACCTGTAGTCCCTCAAATAGCCTGGTGGCAGCAAGGATGCTGTCACTGGCCTGTAAATATCGACCCCCTCCTCCTGAACCAGGAAACATGTATCCTGGAGAAGTTAGCTTCAAAATGAAATGAAATGAAATCATAGCATACCAGGCTGTTGTGGAGTTCCAATGCGGCGTTGGAGAGCAGTGAATCCTCCTCTGTTGAGGAGTTCTTCTGCCACAGGTGAGTGAGCAGAAGCTGATGATTTCAAGTGTCACCCCTGAGTATTTATATGATTTTGGGTGACTGCTGGGCATAAGCTCCTCCCCAAAAATCAGTAAGCAGTAATTATGTGTGCATGTATGTGTGTTTTTTGGGGGTGGGTGAAGCTATTTTGGGCAGGCATTCTAGATCCTTCCCCCCCCCACCTTGGATTTCTTGTGTCTTTGGTGAAATCTTATTGCTCACAGTCTGTATTTTCTTAAATTTTTGCATTCCCTGTGTTTTTAGAACTGAGAAAGGTAATGTTGGAAAAAATCATGATCTTGTAAGTAAGGCTGATAATTTTAAGTGCTTCATTTGGATTTCTCTTTATATTTTTTTAAGGAACGAATTACAGCCTTTTAGCTTTGGTGAGTAACCGCACTAAAGTCTACAGAGACTGCGTATGTGAGTAATTGTTCACTTCACTGGGATGAGAATAGAGGGCTTACAATTAGTTAAGATATTGATTAGCAAGAAGTGTGCATAGCTGAAGATTACTTTTAGCCAGTTGTTTTAGTAGGATGTTGTTTTCGGATTATATTTGTAGACTTCTGCTGCATTGATGCTGGAGGTATAACACCACCTATTTGATGTATTCTGCATGTAAGGCTTCTGTATTACAAATTCTTGAAATGTAAGCTTTCATTCCATAATGAGAACTTTATTTTTTTGTATTCAGTTGTAACAAATGCATTGAAGTCCATACTACTTACAAAATATAATATGCAAGTGTTATGCAGGCTGACGTTTGAGGTTGAGGTTTTTTTGAGCTTTTCTGCATTCAGTAGTTTTTAGGGGGGAGGAGGGGGTTTCAGCCAAATTTTGCTAGTGTTGCATTCTTGCTAGCTGCATGTTGTTCCTATTAAATGGTTGCAGTTTAGTAACTTTGAACTACTGCTGATGCTGAATGAGACTTGATCACATCTTATCTCTTGTTAAATCTCCTTTTTTTTCTTCTTTAGATTATAGATTGGTTTTAGGCATTATGAAAGCTTGTTAAGCTAATCTTGTTTAATAGACTGTATCCACACATTGTGACTTCTTCTCTGAGTAAATGAGGGAGTGTTGCAGTGTTTCATCATCATTTTTATTGGCGTTCAATACGAAATAGGCAATAACTTTCCATCCCTGAGTTGTTTGTCACTCTCAAACTTCATTAAAGAGCAGAAATAACAGAGAAGAAACAAACCATTCTCATTTGGGATGAATAAAACGTATAACTAAATATATGGACATATAGAACTATATAGAACTAAATATATGGTGCATGTCTTGCTTTTATCGGACATTTTCAGCAAAAGTACATGTATATAAATTATCTGTCAGTTAAAACTCCTTTGCCAGTTACAGCCTTTTGGGGGAGGGTGGCATTGTTATATGGTATTTAGTCTTGTGAGAGTTAGATTTTTGAACATGCTTGAAATTATTTATTCCCCTTGCAGCGAAGATTAGTGGAAAAACAAAGATAAATGATATCTACGGTGTTACTAAAAGAAGCTGGGCATGTGCTACAACTTACTGTCTTGATGAAGTGAGCATGTAAGGTTGTATTTATTTTTCAGGTTAATTTATTCCGTTTGTGGAACTTGTCTGGGGAGCCTGTTGGTGAAGGACAAGGAAATTTCTATGTAGAAGAACATATGTGCACCCATATCTTAATACCAGTTATAGAAAAGTTGTAATCAAGCCAGGATACTAGGATATTATAGCATAGGAATACCAATAAATAGCCTGTGTTACTGCGGGTTCTCATGCATGGTAGGTACATAAGGGACACTCGTTACCTTTTCAACCAAAAGACTGAGCCAGTGGCCCTGAACTGTGCAGCTATCCCGTGGGATGCCAGGTTAACACGGGCTGAATTTCACTGCTTTGTGTCTTTGTTTAATTCCACACTCTTCAAATGACAACTTTTTTTGGCTTTTATGTGTTATGGCAAATATCCTAGAACACAAGTTACTGTACTGAAGGAGACCAATGGACCATCAAGTCTATTCTGCTTGCAATTGTGCTAATACATTTGCCTGCTAGAGAGCTGTATTAATGTTGCGATTTAAAAAACGACTGCTGCAATAAATTATTTAATGTATTGTCGAAGAGTTCTTTTCTTCTATTCTTCTTCCTAGCCATCCTCTAAACAGCATTATGTTCCATTTTTGTAAATAAACCCTTTCCTCTGCAGAGGTCTTCTGACTTAAGCCTGCTACCCCATTAAGCTTGCGTGCCCAATATAATCTAGTCAGTTGTTTTCAGAGAACGTTTGCATGTCTGAGATGACATTTCTATTCCCTGTATGTGCGCTCAGTTCCTTTTAATCTTTTGAAGAAGGAATCTTTGTCCTGAAGTTGTTTGTGTAACTTTTCAAACTGCTTCATTTAAAAGTTAGTCTCTATAAATTTAAATGAGAATCCGGTCATCCACTTCTGGCAGAGGGAATGAATGTATGGGCATAGAACTTATTTCCTCCTTGAAGAAAATCAACTCCAGTCCCCTTTTTTTGGCTCACATAAAATCAAAAATAGCTTTTAATTTAAAAACATTTAAATATACGGCCCTTAGTGGGTAGTGTGGTTGTTGCTAATTTGACAGTATTTGGCTAAGAAAGGAACATCAGACAACAGTTCTGTGCACACACAGTTTCATGATAATTTCTAGCCTAATTCATAAATACCCCCAAAGCAGACACACTTATGCTACAAAAGCACTAATAATGTACACTTTTGTTTGTCCAGCAGCCTCACTTCCTACCTTGTCTCCTTATGGGCAGGAAGGTGAATAATCTCTATGTACCTATGTGTAAATAGGGATGATTGTGGGGTCAAGAGGTATATACAGAAAAAACTGTTGACCTCATGTTTAACCTGAGCTCCACCCTGTTGTGCTGTCTTATGCTACTTCTTTGGTCTGAGGTTTTGTTTTTTGTGGTTACAGGAAATTGAGCTGAAATTGGAGTTTGCATCGTTCACGTTTTCCCTGTTTCTGTGCATATTTTCTATTGGAAGAGATGTGTTTACCATCTAAGCACGCATTAACATGCATTTAGCTCTAAGCACGCGTATGAAGGGTAGGCTTCCATATATATTTGCACATGCCAAAATGCAAAATATATGCAGTCGTGGGTATGCCTCTTTACAGTAACAGCACATTTTTAAATACAAAGGTTATCTGCCTACCTGCTTTCAAACTACAAACGCTTGGATACTTTTATTTTGTAGCTATTTATTTAGAAATTTGTCTTTACTTTCAAATGTATGTGTCTTCACTCCCTCCATCCCCTGCCCTAGAACAGTAGTAGTCAAGGATAATGGTGCGATAGGATGCTCCGTTTTACCATTCCAGAACTTCCTTTCAGTTATCAGTGGTTTCCTCATTCCATGTAAAAATAGCCACAGTAGTATTCCTTCAAAATAGCAATTTAATAGCTTAAGTCCTAAACTTACTGCAATAAAAAAACTTAAAATAGAACTTCTCTGGACCATATGAAGTAGATGATAGTGAAATCACAGATTCTTTAATGCCGTTTGAAGCACTCTCTACTGTTTCATCCTATTTGCTGACTGAATGTTGTTTGTTCATCATTAAATGCACATGCTTTCCAAAGCCCCTAATTTTTCAGTGTCTTACTCTCACCAAGTCAGCGAAAACACATATATAAGTAGCAGGGAAAAGACACCATGCTTTAGGAAATAGAAACTGACTTTCATCATTATCCTTCAAGGTTATCAAGAATTCTTCCTAACTGCTGTTGGCAGCTAAGTAAAAGAGGCATGTACTCCACATTCACCCTTGCACCAGAGATCATAAAAAGTAAACTGTAGTAAAGCAATCAACTACTCCCTCCCCTCCCTACCCCAAAAGCAAAACTCTAGGTTTAACGTGTCAGACAAAGTATATGATAGATCCTTGCAGTAAATGAAAACTGGCTAAATATGTTTCTGATACTAGAACCTAGGAATTTCAGTGTGACTATGCTTACAATTATTGTTCTGACTTAAAGTAGTTTATCCAAAGAAAAGTGAGATCTTTGAAGGTAATAGCCTTGATTCTGAATTTGTCTTTTTTTAATACTTAGCTTTTAGTCTTACTTGTGAAATTTACATTTGTGTAGTTCATGGGTTTTTTTAATGTTAAAATGTGATACCTAAGGAATCTGTTGGTTATTTTTGTATTCCTTTTGTTGGTATAATCTCAGCTTTGAAGAAAGGGGGGAAAAAGCACTGATGGGAGATTTGTCCTGTTTTTCCTTTTGAAAAATAGTCTAAAAAATTCAGAGTAACTTTTCATTGGTGACATAAAATCTCACTGCTGTTAAGAAAACACGGACATTTTGGTTATTGTGGCTCAGTTATCTATAGCTACTGCTTTGCAGTGTTGTAATTTAGTTCCAGTTTTGTTATCTGCCTGAGGTAAACTTAGAGGACTCAACCCTAGTCTGTGATAAGTGTTCCTTTGTAAAGTATTTTACCTAAAACTTGTGGTAGCTACCATTTTGAGATGGACCCTAACAGGCTGCAGCATCACCACTGGTGAAGCAGTTCTCCAGTCTCTAATTTGGAGTCCTATAGGGGAGGCTCTCAGGAATTTCCAAGAGGAAGTTGAAAGCCTGCCAAGAAGTTCAAGGAGTAACTGGGTTTCTTAGTTTATGGTGCATGTTATGGCATTCTGGATACTGTTAAATCATCTCAGCTCTATGGATTACAGTTGTCCCTCTCCATCACAAAACGCTGAACAGTGTCTGCACACGCCTGTGATAATGTCCAGGTAAGCTCTAAATGCAAGTGCAGAAGAACAAAGTGTTCCATTGTACCTTTTAATGGTGAAAACTAACTTAAAAGTTTTTTGCAATTTCTTACTGCTCACTGTCAAATATACCCAAAGGAACAGGAAGGAGGACGATCCTTGAAGCTTTTTTTATTTTTTTTTAATTACAGCTACTTTGTATTTGCATGAGGGATATTATATGTTCTAACACTGGCCGCTTGGACTGCATAGAGCTAGAAACCGCCTTGGTGAGGCAATTGTTTACCTTGCTAATTGCAAAATAAATACGATTTCCGTTTTAGAATGCATACCTTCTTTTGTAATTAGTAGGTGCTCAGTTAAGGTAATTTGCAGAGTAGTGTTGTCCCATCCATATTCATACTTTGAGATACAATTCTGTCTTAAGACAAACAAAACAAGAGAAACTGTGTTTTACCGCTACCTTTCCGTGTTAATCTTTTTATAGATACAAAGCCCTTATGCTTCTAGCACTTGTAGTTGTGGTTAAATAAATGTCCTACTTTCAAGTAGTTACGGAAAGATGGTCTGTATTTATTCTGGCGCTGCAAAACTCC